AACTAGAATGGCACCGAGTCTACGAAAGCTTCCGTATGAAAAACGTTGTGAAAGACTCGGACTCTACCCACTATCCTATCGCCGAGTAATAGTTGACTTTATTATGACCCATCGAGTTCTACACTTAAATCACTTCCCCATACTGCGACCAATATTTCACTTGCGGGAACCCTGTAGCACCCGAGGACACCGTTACAAACTCAGGGTACCCAGCATGAACAAAGTATCACATCAGCTTTGCATCGAACGAAAAATCTAAAATTTGTGGAATACACTACCAGAAGGATTAATAGAGGCTGATTCTGTGAAGTGTTTTAAAACCCCTATCGACGATTATTTCGGAAATCTGTGATTTTGTGAAACGATGCACATACAAAGCCAAAAGAAGACATTGTATGACCGGAAATAATGACACCAATAAAATTCCTAACCGAACAAGGATAAACGATTAACTGACCAGACACAACCGCTGATGATTCACAACTAAATGTTTTTGATTTTTCGTAATTCGATAGAGTTGTACAGAAAGCTTTCTACTTGCTCTTAAATACAGTCTCAGTCTCATACGGAACCCACTATAAACAGACTTCTTTCAATTGTCCTCAGATTGAAGCAAAGATGTGGACGACGCCTAGATCCACCTACTGAGCGACAACAAGAATTTCACTCCCACCAACGATATAGCGCGTGCGAAGACTAGCACCTCCAATGCGGAGGACAGAACATTTCGCCTGATTTATAGGCATAAACTATAAGGTTAACCAATCCCAGAGCCTATCCAAGGCACTCTGCAGTGCCTCAGAGCCACCAGGGAAATCCACAATATTGCAGAGCTTGAGGTCATCAGCAAACAACAGCGACGGGACTTCAAGCTCCTGGGGCAGATCATTGAAATAAATTGCGAAAAGCAACGGCCTAAAAACCGAGCCCTGCAGAACGCCACTAAGAGGTGGTCTAAGCGAAAGGCTACGCCCCACGTGTACACACTGTTCTCTCCGCTTTAGAGAAGCAGACACCCAGTTAAGGGCGCCTCCAGATATCCCATATGATTTCAACTTTAGTGATAGTCGTTGATATGGGACATTATCAAAGACTTTCGAGAAGTCAACGGAAAGCATGTCAATAGCGTGATCGTGGTCTACTGACTCAGCCCATCATTCACGAGCTACAAGTGAATTCGTTAGATACGAAAATCGCTTACCGGAACCGTGCTGTGCAGCACTGAGAAGGCTAAACTTGTTCAGGTGATTCGCTACCGAATCCCTGATCAGATTTTTAAACAACTTAACTACTACGCTTGTCAAGCTGACAGGCCGGTAGTTCGCGGCAGAGCGCAGTCACTGCTCTTAAAAATCGTACAGATGATTGTCTCCTTCCATTCCGAAGGTAAGGCACAGCTGTCGAACGATACTGTAAACAAGCGTGTAAAATGGCCACTTGGCACAGCGGCCAATTCATGCATCAGCTTCGGATGAATTGAATCAGGGTCAGAAGCTTTGAAAGGATTTAGCCCTTGCAACAGCCCGAAGACTTGTGTCTCTGTTATGCTAATTTCAGTTAGGCAAGAATCCTCCGGGACTATTGTGACCAGCTCAACCTAACGTAGAGATCTTATGAGCAAAGACTCCAGTATACCGTTCGTTAAGTATACAAGCTTTATCATAGTCGGTATGCACACGGGTCCCGTCCGTGCGTAGTAACGATGGTATAGAGGAGTTTGTACCGCTGCGTCTCTTTACCTAAGCAAAGAACTTCGAATTTGTTGCGGCTGCGTCAGCCAAATCCTTCTCGTACTGAAGACGAAGAGTTCTAAGACGTTACTTACATTTATTTCTAACCGCTTGATAGCTTTCGTAGGTGCTGGTTGATGAAACCACTTGGTAAGTTCACCAGCACCTCGAGCGCTTCCTGAACAGGCATTTACCCGTATGATCTATCCAAGGAAGCTGCGCCCGTGTCACTCGTTTCTTAATGAGTGGGATGTGGAGAGCAGAGATCTCGGTGAGGTATGCCTTAAATCACTTCCAGGCTGTCTCAACGGTGTCAACCACGGTGATCGCGCAACGCAGAACTGAAGTTTCGTCTCGCATTGCGTTAAAGCCTGCCCGCCAAATATCTGGGCATGCCTCATCGGTGGCTTGATGACACTTAGTTAGAGCACATCGAAGGGATATGCAGACACGGTCACTTGTTCCTAGAGGACAGCCGTATGCAATATCACTTATGACTTCGCAAAAAACAAGATGCAAGATAGACGGGTGCCTCATAAACGGTTACTATTAAAGATAACCTATTCTGGAATCCATGACCCAATTCTAGTTTTCCTCTCATTATACCTGAATCGTCGCTCTGAGATAGTCACCTTTGGCAGCCCCTGATCTTCCGCGTGTTCAATCACAAGTGAGGTTGTGCAAGGAAGTGTGCTCGGTTCAGTGTTTCAGGCTTTATATCAATGACAACAGTGTGGTTATCAAACAATTCTCAGTTGTCGATGATAGAAAGATTGTCTACAAGCTCCGACGAGTTAAGCTTCAGAACGTATTACTTCTCACTCGGAATGACTTTCATTACCTTGAAACATAGTGTGACAAGTGAACGTCGAAGTTCTCACGAAAAAATTAGGGATCATGTGTCAAGTCAAGTCAATATAGGGTTTTTGTACCAGAAATAGTGCATTTTTAGCACTGTACAATAACTAACGAGGAAGGATTAAAATGGAAAATTTAAAAGTGCAAAATTATCGATGGAAAAAATTGGCATCGGGTGCACAGGCGTCTCCTGAATACGCGTAAACGGGACCGCGGTCCGGTATATACACATAACAGGTTTCGCAGAAAAAGCGAATCATCGGCATATGCTTTCTGTTGCAGTTATAGTGTCGGATCCCAGTATAACAATCGGGATGACGGTTACTCAAGTTACAATGGCGCCCTTGATAAATTTATGCATAGAACGCGCAGCATCTCAAAGCACGTTTAAAAAAGGCGCAGTACAGCCTTGGTGACCTTGAAATAGTATAACCGAAGAAAATGTCAATAATATATGGTGAGGACTGTTGAATCCGAGTCAAATAAAGTAAAAGCGGAGTTCCAGTAAAATGGCAACGGCCGATTTAAAAGCCCCGCCATGTCGCGGTTGTTTGATACCCCGAGAATCTAGTGCACTCAACGAATGCCTTTGTGAACAACTGTCTGCACGCGATCTCGGAATCAGATATTAATGCACCTACAACTTTCTGAGGAGATTGAGTACAATATGGCACGAGCCAAACTAGCCGTAGCCAGCACATTTCACAGAATGTATAAAATCGCAGCCAGAGTTGAAGCTTTTAACATCCTCATTCGTCCCATCACTGGAGTAACGCAGCATAATCTGTGGCAACATAAGGAAATCCGATAGAAAAGCTATAGAAAGCCTATAGCGGTCGATATGCAAAAAAGCTATCAAGAACTAACTGCGATCCGATTTAGCTGCGTAGACTAAAGCATAACTGGATATCGCTGTACGACCAGATTGAGGAAAATGCCCACTGAAATCTACCCACGTTACCATTAAAGAACTGTTCCAGTGGGACCTTTGTAACAAAGAATTTAATCTGATTAAACCATGATGCAGGCCAAATGGGCTGTCCAAGCTCTTGTTAGTCAGATATGCTGTATCAAGGAATCGGCTCCCAACCACAATCAAGTCAAGTGAGAATGCGTAAGCATTTCTGAATACTGAGTACTGAAATTAGGGAGCTAGTAGATATGCGTCTACGTTACTCCATCCGGATTGGTAGGTAATAAGCTCGAAGCTGGACACAATTACGACAGTTTGTTCTGGGGGAGGGGATCACCTGATGTTTTACTTAAGGAGGGTCTAGATAAGGTCTAATGGGTGAAATAGTAAAAACCACGCAATGCAAGCAGTCCTCAGTGTTAACAATATCCTTAATGTGTAAATATAACTTTAGCATTAGTGTAAAACATAGACGTGCCAAACGCAGAAAAATATTAACACACAACTGGAAGTTATTCATGCAAAAGCATGGTATGATCTGTACCAAATATGGACGTTGCTACTCACTTGATGAGAAATATACTTAGTATTATTATTATTATTATTAGTATTATTACCTGCGATACAGCACGGCTCAGAGTCCAATGCACGTTACGGCTGTACAAAGGAAAGGATAATTTCCCTTGTATGCATTACACAGAGTAAACCGATTATAATGTTGTAAGTTCGATGGTGGGTTCAATTTGTTTGTCGGTTGCTAGGTCCTATTCTTCTCTCTGCATGGCGGTAACGCGTAAGTCATTGGATAGTGAAGAGCTAATATCTCATCTATTAGTTTACTCGTATCGGTCATTATCGTCTCCAGTAGCCCAGTAGTCTTAATCACGGACGGGTAACAGTAGAGTTGCTGATTCTAGTTCCCTAGAGGTCACATAAAATACACATTTCCGATGATTCCCGAAAGGATGAGATGGGCGTATAGTGCTTCTCCAGGTATATGACCAAATGTCCAACTGAATCGACATGTGACAAATTTCAACTCGTGTCATTCAAATTCTCCGCAGTAGTTCCTTGAAAATAGGCTTGTTCGATAACCAGCTTCTGATGAACAGAGCTAATTAGGTAGAGCATAGGCGGTCTGGAAACAAAGTCTATGTGGCTGAGGAGATTTTGCAGACTCCGTCGCCACGTGTCAGGTCGATGTACGGAACGTTCATATCTGACGCTGATGTTTCCAATGTCAATGAGGAGTATTCATGGTGCACTAATCCAGCTCAGTGAAACAAAAAGTTGATACGCTGAATGCATAACTCGCATCCACTGAACGTAAATGGATCATTCACAAATCATGCATAAGATGTACACAAAGAGGACAAAGCAAACAGCGCTGAGTGTAATAGATCGGGCAAATGCTACCCGGCGAAATTAACGGACATGGACGATTCAAGTGGCACGCGTTGGACTAGCACGATGTTTTCTTAAATCAAGAAGGCGCTCACCTGAATTGTACCTTGCTTGCACAGTTGGATAGTGCCGAGAAGAGTAATTGCAATTTCGTTTTAGAGAACCTGCATGCGGACAATAATTCATCCGAGGGAGTCGAGGGCCTACTTGTGTCATCGTGACCGGCACGTCGCTGGTAGCGAGTTCGTTTACTTTTCGACTTCGCGTTGAGCAGTCCTAAGGCTTGAGCACGTATGCTGGCAGGACCAGCAAGGCAGGCGTGCTCCAGAATAAGCTGGCCTTCTTGTTCCGATTGAGAGTGAGCCAATTCGATTTCAATCACCAGAAGTGAATTGACTGCCAAAAATGTCAAATTGTGGCCCTGCATGGAATCCAAATCTTGTAAAGAACTAATGAACGGGACCTGAAAAAATCAAAAACACGATAGTGTGCGCTGCAATGTTATGAGGAACAGAGATCGGCACAAGTACAGTGTGATATTGTGAATCGCCAGATCTGTCTCGTGATACTGTGAGACGGAGAGAATAAACGAGATTACATGCACCAACACACGGCTACACGAGAACGTCCCAGCGGTTTCACCTAGATGAAACGTAACGGCAACATTGTCAAGCTCAACGAATTGTTTTGAACATTATCTGATCAACATGAGATGCTAACAAATGATTCTATGTAAAACTCGTGGTACTAAGAAGGAACAGACTGCAGGAAACTCATCAAGCGCGTGATTCACTGGGAGGGTAAATGTGACTTGGAGCAGAGCAAAGTGCAAGTGCGTGGTAACGTCCTGCTGCGCGTAACCCAGTAGGAATGGTTAAAGTATCGAAATAGCAGCATGACAATACAGACGTGCAATACAAAGCAGTCTGTGGCAATGCAGACAAGAGATAAAGGTGGCGACAGTCCAAAGGTGATACTTTATGCGCATTTTGTTGATGGAGCAAAACTGTCACAACCGCGGCTGATAGGGCGTAGAGCCACCAGAACAAAAACCACCACACGGTTCAGTGTATTGACCAAATGTCAAGTCACACGACACAAAGAGGATATAAGTGGAGTTGGAGCGGGAAGATAAGGACGAAAATGAATGTCGGAATGTTCGAGAATACTGCAGCTGCAGATAGTTGGACGCCATGGAGGAAAACCGGGTATCCTACGAATCGGTTGCCTCTATGTAAACGCCGGAGAAAACATAACTGACTGCGATAGCAGCACCGGGCAACATTACGGTGATGCCGTTTTCACAGCCAAACAAACCGTTAAAAACGGTACCAATTAATACCATCACATATGCGGCTAAAAGGAAAAATCACATTGTTCTGTTGTGTGCACAACTGTTCCACAATCTCAGTCTAGTACCATGAAGGGGAACTTGATGGACGACCGTAACCAGTGGAAGTCCATTTGTAATGCGATTAGCATTTAGATTGAGCTTACGCCACCCCAACTCAGTGCATTACGGTGAATCTCGACTAGTGAAGGGTTCCGGTACGACTCTCTCCCATCCCTGTACTTCAGGACCGAGGATTTTGTCCTGATTTGGACTTAGCAGGTAGAGATAGACGAGCAGGGAGTGGAACTCAGCGCATAGTTCCTAGAGGCTATTGTCATGATCACTATGCTATTGAGCTCCGCAAACAATGCTTCACACAGCGGTTAGAAGCTGATTTTCAACGACAACGGGTGACAATGAGTTCCACTGACGACCCAGAGATCGTTCTACTGTTATCCAATCGGTTCCGCAAATCACCACATGAAGTACGTATAACGCCGTAGGTCCTTGGAAAGAACGTCCGAAGAAGAACAGCAACTGTGAGGACGTTCACAAATCCGACAAAAATGTACGATTATTGTTTATGGAGTTCTTGAGTTTCAAATGTTCGCCAGGAACTCTTTCTCGAGCATATCATTGCGAAGCGATTGTTAAGAATTCCAGTTTCATTTAACTAGGAGATGAACGGTCCTAGACTGATGAAGGTGACGCTCCGAATCGAGTTAATAACACGGCTTGTCTTGGAAAACTGGTCTAAATTTCGCAAGACGCTGTCTTCAGAAATCCGAATGATACACGGCCACGAGTGACTAACGACACTCTGAGGACGGCCAAATGGGTGAATTTCCCTGTCACACAGCTCGCTTAAGTGATCGATCTAATGGAGAAATCAACATCCGACGGAATAGGACTAAATACGGGAGATCATCCGGGCTCAGATAACTGTCAGCAGTAGTGTAACCCAAACGAAATTCAAAGCCAGCCGAGTCGTTAAAAACGGCTAGTGGCCGACCTCTCAACGGTACGCACAATCTGCATTCTTAGTTCAACATCCCACAGCTAACCTTTGGTCATGGAGGAACTATCCTGCTAGCATACTGATGTACAAAGGCTAATTAGTTAGTTGGCCGAACGCCGCTTCAGAGTCCATGCACGCCGAACAGACAATGGTGATCGATTCCTGCAATTGTGCACCGACCACAACCTTTACCATAGCAGCACTGCTTTCTAGCACAAAGGTTCACACCGCGTCATCTGGTGCCCACCGAATTTCTCAAGTACCTAGACCCAAATCAACTATGCTGTCTTCAGTTACAGATGGCGCACATCAGTCCAAGATTGTCGGTCAGTTTGGAACATCTGCCTGGATTCTGACCATGCTCTAGTGCGCGTACGCTTGGCGCTCACGGTTTCCGCTTATCTTCTAACTTTCTTACTTGCAACTTGAAATCGCAACCTGCCGTTTGCCAATAGCACAATGCACTGGTCCAACAGGGATTAATGAGATTGGTGGACCGAACGTTAACCGCGATCGTTTCAAATATGTCATGAAGAATGTCTTCGGTGCATGATGTCCACCCAACCTGAGACGTCAAAACTGTGATTGGATATCTGAGGTATAAACAGGGAACGATGCTTGATTGCAAAGACCAGTGAGATGGGGAAAATCAGGCGCTATTCCAGCTCTTCCGGTACACGGGTCCGAGAAAGCCTTCAGTTGGTAAGAAAACAGTTGAGAAAGATAGATCGTCGTCGACTAGCCTGTTGGGCGGAACACACTAAAGAGCAGTTCAGCAGGCCTGCAGCAACACTGCCACTTGTCAAATCACCTGAGCCGACGTGGGAAATAGACGAAACATCTTACAATTTGGAAGATATTCGACATAAGTTTCTGTGTTAAAACGTAACAAGGCTAATGAACCCGACGACCTTCCTCCATCTTTGCTGAAAGATAGAGATGACTCCTTACTGACTGGAATTGCTTCTCTATTTAATGCAACTTGGAACACTGAAGACGTGCCTTCAGACTGGCGACTGTCAACTGTCGTACCCGTATTCAAAAAGAGCAAGCGTACTTTGTGCGAAAATCATCGAGGTATTAGCCTTGTTTCCGTTCCACCCAAAGTCTTCACGGGGATCATTCTCCGGCGATTTACTGGTCAATGAAAACCAGGCTGGCATCCGCCAAGTTTTAGATCAGAGACACACATACAAATGACTGACAATGATGGTTTCCTTTGACATGAAAGTCAACTTCAACACAGTTGACCGCGCCAGTTTGTGGCATTGCCTACCAATGAAGAGCGTGCCAGGTAAATTCCTTCCCATTATGCAGTCTCTCTACCGTGACTCCTGAGGCAGTGTGAGGATCTATGGGAAACTATGTCCTAAGCTAACTAGAACAAGTGGGGTTCGCTAGGGTTGCCCTATATCATATCTCTTCAGATTTTGATCGAAATGATCACGAACGGCTCAGCGTTTTCAGATTACTCTAGGGTGGAAGTTCAGCCAGGTGAATGACTGAGAAAGCTGGAGTATGCAAGCGACATTGCTCTCATTTGGTTCGACGCAGTGGCTATGCAAACATTACCCAACAGACTGACGCGTAGTGCCGCAAACTTCGGTATGCTCTTAGTACCTTGGAAATGCAAAGTATGTTTCAGGACCGGATCGGCTCGCCTAGGGATCCAACTATCGACGAACAGCCACTGGAAGTGGTGGATCAATGCACTTACCTTGGTAACTATGTCACCCTGGTGATCACACCGCTGAGGAAGTTAATTCGCAAATCGGCAAGGCCCGTGTGGCATTCCAGAAAGTGAATCATCTATGGAGACGGCGGAATATCAGCTTGTTACTGAAAAGTGTGGTGTATAATGTTGCGACAAGGCCGGTGTTACTGTTTGGATCAGGCACCTGGCCAGTTCAGAGCGGCATCCGATTACGGATTTGCCTGTCAATGTGGCCAGCCACAGGACGCCTACGCCTACAGAGGGACCATGGGTGGCTTGCGTTGCACCACCCACAGCTCCATCCACACACCCCATATCCAGCGTAAAACCGAAGGAATAAGACCGGGAGGCATGTGGGTGGGAGACACGTTTCATAAACGGAGCCGGTCCACACTCCTTTACAGGCAAACACAAGCACATTTCTTAGACGTCTTATTTAGACAATTATTTTTTAACAGTAACTTCATATACTTCACCAGTAAAGTGACAATGTAACATGTTGAAAATGCACCCACACTGGTGTATAATGCTTATTTTGACTTGATCTATCATTAATAACCTAAGTAGTTGGCATGGGGCCACCGAAAAAGGCACCGAAAGCCATGAAGACCATTGGTTATATCTGCCATCATTTTTACCTCACGGAATCTCGCATATCCCTTTAAAAAACATATGTATTGCCGTGTATGGAATACTGTTCAATGATACAGTCTAATCTACGGAAGTCTGACCAGCACGCTCTTGAGAGGGTCCAGAGACGTTTCACGAAAAAGCTATGTGGATATTCCTCAAAGTTGACATACAAGGAGCGATGCGATAAACTTGGATTTGACCCAGTTTGGCTTCGGATAATGAAGCTGAACCTATGTTTTCTTTACAGAATCATAAATTGTCAAATTCGCAGTCCTGAAAGCGGTGTTCACATATCTGTAAACAACAGATACCCAATACGTAACAAAGAAGTAAAGGTCATGATTCCAAAATTTTCTACGAGAATCAGAGAACGTTTCTTTCTAACCCAATACTCAAAGATTTGGAACAAACTTCCAAGTGATATCAGAACATGCTATACGCTTTGCAATTTTAAGCTTGCTATTAGTAAGCATTTAACCGTCCAAAACGTGATTAAGATGTTCGGGACATCACAGTCCCTAGATAACGCATTCGAAAACGGTATCCATGGTGCCTGAATAAATTTCTGAAGCACATACACATATCATTTCGGACAACAGCCCCTTTCATTACATTTTTTTCTCTCGGCCCAAATATCTATCATGTGATTGTAAAGAATCCTGATTCAGTGGCAGGCAAAAATAGCAGAACGATTCTGATTACTCTGTGTAACATAATTTGCAATTGCATCCATGTTTATCTCTGAAAATGTATTGATGAAATGTCATGGAAAAGTTGTACCATTATTTGATCTGTTCCTTATAGAGAACAGCTTCTCGCATAGTCGAGGAATATACAATTTATTTATTTATTTAAGTACAACTGAGGAAAAACATTTGAACACGTTTTTTTCAAGCTTCACTTTTTATCCTCTGTAGTTTTGTCTGTTTAAAGACCTCAAGCTAGACACTCTCGCACACAGTTCTTCTGAAGATTCCGGTTTCGCAACATATCTTCAAACGCGTCAAACCCCTGGAGCACTCTTCATCATTGGCCCCCTAACCAGGAATACGTACGGGTCCAACAGCGACTAGACGTGACATAAGCGATTTCATTTGCTATCACCAAGTGAAAGGCTAACGACTACTCCGCCGCGAGCTCCATTCCAACCCAAGCGAATAGAGCGCGTCGCGGTAAACGCTAAGGTGCCATGCGAAGGATGTAACCGAAACATTTCACCTGGCGCAGCAAAACCAGCTTGGTGAGAGGGATAATCGAATTCAACAGGACGCGAGGTCTAACGTCATCAATATGTACACGGTGTCACCAACAGACACTAGTAATCCTCTTGGTAATCCTCGCTGTCGAAGTGGCAAGAGTGCACGTCATCCACGCGAAATGGCCAAGACTCATGTCCAAACAACAGCACCCAGCGAACGGCAGTATCGTACACACGACTGTGTACCAAGATGAAGACGTACAAACGATGCTACGTGTGTCGAATATTGACAAATACCGACTGAGGTTTAGTGGTGCAGAGAAACCCATTCCGATAGTTCGGTTAACAGAAAGACAGCTGACGGAATTCCGCGAATAAATTACACTCGTCGGTAATCCGTTCGGAGAAAAGGAATTTGTTCGAGGGTATCCACAATGCTGTGAGGTAAATAGAGGCTGTGTGTAAGTGTTCGATCGGGAAATGTTGGCGGGTTACTGCTGTGTTCCCTAAGGGTGGCATGTACTAAATGCCGGCCACATGCAAAACAATAATCCCACTATTTTTCCAAAACACCAGAAGTCAGAGTCAGCCACATGGATGTAGACAGGATGGCATATTTACGACTACGAGCTGCCAATCGTGCGGTGGATGCTAGTAAAAATTGAGTAAAAGTTGCTCTGTATCCGTGGAAGCAGTGCCCCCCCATTGGTGTTAATGTTTTACACCGATCTATTTGATTGTACAATCAGCAACCTCGTGTCTTAAAATGCTTGGCCGAGTCTTTTCCTAGCACTGGTGACGAGGGTGCTGAGAATCAAAGTTGGAAGATTTCTACCCTTTGAGCTGCATGGTTGGGGGGTCTAGGGAAACTAAGGATGCCAACCAGAGTGGGTCAAAGGATAATGAATGCCTACAACCCATTGTGTCATGCCAAAGCCTAGTGGGATAACGACGGGGTGATCAGCAAATCTGATTTAAACATAGTAATCATGTCACACAACTGCTGGTATCCAAAAGGACTGATTCGAGGGGCACCATTAGCAATCGCACGCCACCAAACTCAGTTCTTACAGATCACTTAAAACCATGGGTTTGATAGTGTCAGAAAAGTAAACGGAGTAACAATTTCCGCGACAGCGATACCACTATAGTACATGCGCAATTCGAAGATGTCAGAGCCAAGAAACTGTATGATGATGGACCTCCACTGACAGATTAGAGAAAGCCCTGAACGGGGAGAAAGTAAGATTCCTGACCTCGATGTCAAAGCGAACGGAGGGATTAAAACATCCACATAGGTCTGTGTGTAGGCTATATTGTCTAGTCACACACTCTATATGGATTGTCCGAAGGTAGTCGCTTCTAACATTTGATCGGAACGAGTGGTTTTATAGAGCGTTGTCAAAGTATCGTAGATGGAAGGCAAACGAGAAAAGTAAACTACACCACAAAACAACCGCTAACCGGTGTGTTTGTGAATCGACGTGGTTCCAACAAATGGCGCTATATGACAGATCGTCTGTGGCTCATGACGGTCTGCCACAGAACTCCATGAACAGACTGAGATTGCGTTTAAATTCGAGGAAATAACAAAGCAACAAACCTTCAGAGTTGAGGACAGTTGGGATTCGATGATCCACCTCCAAACCACTTTAGCCGGCAGTTTGCTTTGGCCAGAAAACTTCACGTCCCGCTTAAGTGACGGGACTTGACATTCCGTAGTAGACTGGCCAACGTCGGAATCAGCTGATTGCAATACTACGCCCAACATGATCTCATCCCGAATAACCAAAGCAAGAGGATCAGCAACCTAAGGGTGATAATTTGAGAACAGAAAGGTGTTTAGTGCATCCAGGCAGTCACCGAGATAAAACAGAATGATTGGCACAGTTGTTCGTAATGCTTGCATAGAAAGCGACATACGAGAAGTAACGAACTGAAGTGAGACGGGGGTCAACAAATCAAGCAGAAGGCATTGCAAATAGTCCAGAATGTCACAAGCATTTTGGAGCATTATCGTGCTTGACACTATAAGATCGACTCGACACAGTGGTTCTACTGGAGTCAAAAGGAACTGTCCGAAACGGGCGGTAGATTCATGGTCCGAGCACAAATAGTCAACGTAACTAACCCATCTCTACGAACTTGCATATGATGGAATAAATAAAGTTTGTAGGCACAAAGATGGATGGCCCGGAGATCACTTCGGAAGAATTTTCTGCTCCCATCTAGATTGACCCAAGAGCACAGGGCTGACATGAATCGTGAATTCTGGTTCATATGACAATCAAGTTTCACATCAGTGAGCTGTTTATGTCGTATCGTTGTATACTGGAGTAAAAGTCTACTGTAAGAACACATATGCAGTGAAATGGCTAAATTTTGGGTGGGTGAGAGAAAATGTTGGTTGTCACTCGCTAAGGTATGGTTCAAGGGTCTACATCGTGTAGGTAACCGATCAGAGCAACGAAAGTGAGGCTAAACTGATATACAAGGATTCCTTGACCGTATCCAAAAAAGGAGTGATCAGTAATCTCTGGTGGCAACAACATAGTCAACCGCCAAACTTCGTGTGTGAGCAGCGATAGAATATTCGGCTTAAAAAGAAAAGAGGCACCTGTCACTTGGCATGGCTCAGCACTTGGAATGGGATCGGTGAGTGACCGTATCAGAGTGGACTTTAGAGGTGAGTAACACGGTGACTGTGTGCTTATACATAAGAATGTGGCACGCACGCTAGACCAAAAGCCTCAGAGCTGAAGTACCAATGAAGGGTCGTCACAGTCAAATGTTCAAGTGGTGTTCATGCAATTCGGCATGAAACTGAGCGAAGTGAAAGGAAATCAGCAATTTCTCAACACGAGACAATCAGTGTCAATGATAAAGGTGCTTATTAGTTTAGAAATATGTAGTAACAATCAATTAGCGCATTACAGGTATTAAACACAACGATTTTTGTAGGTTTAATTGTGACAATGTTGCGCTCTTGACAATTATTCTGGCCGGTAGAAGCCCATGCGTCAAGAGCGAAACGTTGCAACAATGCAAGCCTACATAACCGATTACTACACCATACCATCGGAAATTATGAACTCCCAGTCTGTTCCAAGCCTCCTCCGAGATATTGATTAAGGTATTTGTTGTGAAACGTTTCGCTTCGGCACGAAAGCTATTGTAAACGACTGGGCCCGTGACTAAAATAATCCCATAGCTTATGCCTCTGTTATCGCGATTATCGCTCTAATTGCATGCTGATTCAACCGGCCTGATGAAGAACCTGTGTCAATAAACCAACCAAATCCTCCGTGAGCTTTCAAACTTCTCGATCGGTATCAAGTATATTTCAAAATGACTTTGTTTTGTTTCGCCGAAGAGCTGCGGAATTCGTGTTGAACAGATGAAGCCTTAAGAAAATTGGCTTCGTTCAGAAGGAGTTATGCATGATGTGAACCGAAGTGGCTGCAACAATCCGCAAGAGCAGTAAATATGAGATTTGGTATAGGTAGAAATTTGTTACTTCTAGACTTACTCAAACAGCCGTCACACACCCGGAAAAGCACTGTACGCGCGTTTCATATTTTCGGGAATCGTCAGCAGTGCCTTTTCGGGTGTGTGACGGCTGTCTGAGCAAGTCCAGATGTGACGAATTTCTACCTATACCGTTCAACTAACCCTACTACTCTTCTGCAATCAGTACACAGACCAAACTGCTTATAATGCCATAGGTTAATTGGCGGCTTAAATTTGGTAAGCTAGTCGCTTGGTGAGGGGGCTACCCTGTCCTCTGCACGGCAGTAAGGTGTAAGTCAGTGGATAGTGAGTGGCGCAATATCACATCTAGTAACTTATTTACGATGGTCGTTGCTGTCCCCCGTAGCTCAGTGGTCTCAACCACGGACTGGCACCAGTCAAGTTGCGGGTTCGAGCCTTACCAGAGTCCGATGGAATGCGTACTGCTGACGATTCCGGAAAGGAGGGAACGCGTGTATTGTGCTTTTCGGGGTGTGTGACGGCTGTCTGAGTAAGTCTAGATGTGATGAATTTCTACCAATACCATTCAACTCCTCCTACTACTCTTCTGCAAATATGAGATTGATAACTGAAACACATCCCCGAATAGGGAAATCAACATTGGGTTTGAAAGAGTGAGATTTGTGCGGAACCAGGCTAAAGAGTCCACTCATGGTGAGAAAATATCAGTCCATAATTTCGGTTTATGCGAGGGTTAACCGTTCACTATAGGCCTAACTGCTTCAGTTACACTGTGCTGTAACAATTAGAAGTTGTAGCCCCGATGGAGAATTTGATTCATGGTTGGAAATCGTCAAATTAGTTTAACGTTTTGACAAACACTGAATCCGCGGTAACAGAAAAGGATTGCTACAAGAGCACGCTGTGCTTGTGGTGAGCGAAAAACGACGCCGTAGAGACTAACCTGAGCCGCGGTACCCAAACATCTGCCCTATCAATTAGACAAAGTGAACTGATGGTCGGACACTTTGTGTATTTCATTTAAGCCTGCATGTGTCAGCCGCCTGTTGAATGAAGCTTCTTTGCCAAGGTCGTAATGGTTCTTAATTGGTGTGTTATCGCCCTCGCTTTATCCATAACAACCAACTCAATAAACAATGAATTTCATCCACCGAAAATCAACGTTATAACTGTGATTCTAATAATACCTAAACCGCGAAACACTACACTCATTGGTTCGACACGTTAGCATAAATTTTGGAAGCTATCAGTTTAGTACTGCCTAACAAGTTGCGGACCTGTGTGCAGGTGGTATCGTCTGATGGAAGTGAGCTCCATGGTCTACTTGCGGCTTTTGAACAAATCCAATTCGTCGAAATGGCCCACTAACAGTAGCAATTATATCAATCGAAAAACGACTACGGTGTACGCGTGACGAATGAAGCGAAACCTTTGCAGATGAGGAGCGATAAATCGCGTACAAGCAAAAACATCAGCTTTATTGATTGTAGAATCCATAGACACACTTGGTTTCAGTGATATGTGCGAGACACTGTTCCCAAAGATTGTGGAAAGAGGGAAAATTAGAAGATGATCCGTCGCTCCACGTCCAGAACGTATACCTAGTTATTCGGACAAGTTTGGCCTCTGTTACAGTCGCAGTTGCGCCCTACTTATGCCGCCATTGAGGTGCTGATCAACAGCACCTCTTTGAAAGCACTGGGGGTTACACCGTCGTTTGAAGCTAAACGACGATGTAGAAAAGATTGCGGATCGATCCGCAAAATTCACATGGCCAATGCCCCCTTAACAAGTAGCACTAGTTGTCATTGTGTTGTGCCGCTGCATAGGGGCAATCAGTATACAAGTCATTCTTCAGGTGCACATTTAGGACACTATTTCCGTAAGTTTCGTTTACTTACGTAAATCCTGTTTCTGCATGGATAACCCAACTTGTGCAGGTCGGCCACCGCTGATGCTGTTTCCCCCGTCCTACACAGGAACGATGCTTTGACATTCTAGGCGATCAATACGAAGTATAGGCGTCAATGAATCACAGATGAAAAGTTTACACAGCTGGAAATATAGAAGATTTTCGGAGATGGGATTACTGAGCCGTGGATAGCGTCGTTGCAAGCTCAGGCTTGGATGACTATAAGCAAAAGCAAAACGTAAGATGGTTGCAAATCACAGCCAAGCACGGAATCCTTACCTTGAAATCACGGTGAAACCTCACAGTACTCAGTGTGCAACATGTTGGACATGATAAGTGGATATTGTTAGATGCTTTTTAATGTAAAAGAAAAGAAATTCATCAAATTTGTAGCACGCGGAGTTGAGGTCAATCCCCATGCATACCTTTCTGTGCAACGACAAAACATCCCTTTATCAAGGGTTATTGAGAAGTTTATAGAGGATGAAAGTTTGAGTGCGAATTTGTCGTATGAACGCCATAGCAGGGTACAGGGCGACAGAGAATGAGAAATTATGTGAAACCGCACGGAGAAACCCAGACTATTTGATGATTCCGTCCTCTCCTAAATCAAGTGGAGACTGAATGCCATGTCTTCGAGAAATGTTGGATGAAGATCTACAGATCACTTTGAGTTCGACGACGATGCCTGCGACAGTGAATATTTTAATCCTTTCTTTCGTATGTTTAGATCCATGCAAACACGGAGGACTTACACCCGTTGGTGCGGTCTCCTGTTACAAAGAGCAACGAACTATTTATGTATTTAGTAAGTAAAAGAATTAGTCGAGAACAGCAGGAGAAAAAGAAAAGTCTGCATTCGTTCCTAATAACTGCCCAGACAAATTCAGAAGCGGACACCTCCGATATTGCCAGTGCCGCTATTCTGATGCAGAATAAAAGTTTCCTTCTTGCCAACACGCATTCATAGAGAACAACACTATTTAGTCACCGGGTTGATTCCAGTTGATGGTATTACCTCAACATTAACAGACTCATCAGTATTACAGACCAGTGGGTATATTCGTGCATGCTCAACCTTGACATTAAAAAAATCAAAAGGACAACATTCAGTGCTGAGGCATCGAACTCTCGTGCTGCAAGTAGAGCAAGGTACTAGCGACAGAGAACTGAGAAAGTGAATACTGACGGTTTATTGCGCACTTGTTGCGAGACGCAGTTAACTACAGTGAAACTCTAACAATCCCCGATGCAGTTCACACAGTGGAATAAAACTTCAATTTTACAAATTAACAGGAACACTCAGCAAGGTCACATTACTTTTCGAACGACTACATAAAGTTCAAGTGTTAGCTAACATCGGTGAATTACAAAAATGCTTATTTGAAACTGTGTACAAAGGATCC